TTTGCTTATAATGTTTTATGTAAAGCACTTTGAATTGTTCTGTACATGAAATGTGCTATACAAATAAACTTGCCTTGCCTTGCCTATGTTCCTCTGTCATTTTATAGAGACAGAGTTTTTTTTTGTCATAGTCTTTTTTTAATGCCGATGTCAATACTGGTTCATGACTGATCCCTGATATCTGCTACCGATATTTTTTGGCCGATTCTTGAAGCTGATGTTTCTTTTTCTGTTTCCATTCAATTAATAAAAATGACGCAATGATAACAAATGTTTGTCACAATATAAGCAAAAAACATATATTAACCTTTTAACAGTTGAACAGACTGAGTAAAAGTCCACAGCAGTAAATGATGTTTTGCAAAAAAAACAAAAACAAAAAAAAACTAGAATCTGCTTAAATCACTAAAGCCGGACAGACACTGTGCTATTTTTTTCAATCGTTGCATGCAGCTACAGCTCACGATGTATGTTCTCACACTGTATGGGACAACGCTCTGATGCGATCTACCTGCTCACACTGTACATCAAAAACCATGCCGGACTCAGCTCCGCAGTGAGATGGCGCTACTCAGACTCGTCTATCCGGAAGCCAAACCAGTAGAAGAGGAATATGAAAGTCACTAGAGCGAAATGCGCTGCCTTGGCTATTTGCGCAATGTTGTGTGCTAAAAGCCCTAAAAAGAAAAGACGGCGTCGTATTTGGACAAAGACATGGCTGAGCAAACGTGGCTACTACGGTCTGTCAATTTTACAGAAAGAACTAAATTTCACTTGTACCCCCGCCATGCTTCTGTATTTTCATCTGAGAGGAAGAAGAAGAATCCTTGTTTGCACACTGAGCGATTTACCCATGATGGCCGACTGAAAATCAAGCGTTTGATTTTCTCCTGACCTCAAAATTCCTGGTCGGGAGGTGATCGTGAGAGGCTGATCACCCCTCATTACCTCCTGTACACTACACAACGCACGACGCCAGATCAGGCTGAAAGTCGGACCGATCAAAAAATTCTCGCACGTTTGGAAAGTCAGTCTGAAAAGGGCAAAAAATCGCACAGTGTATGCTCGGCTTTACACCCCCAGTTTATTTTAAGTTAGGCTATTTTTTTTTTAGGTAACAGATAAATTAATTAATTAATTAATTAAAAAAAACCATCAAACTGGATTGTTCATTCAATTCACTTCTCCCATGCAGCCCTCCATTTAATCTGTGCCACACTAAGGACGCATCCCCATCCAGCTGGCTGTATCGGCCCAACTCTAATCATTACGATGCTATTCATCCACTGATGTTCACTATCAAACCTCTGAGGCCTTCACAGAACACCAGGACTTAAACTCTGATCAATTCTGTTTTAGAAAAGAAGCAGCTAAATTTGAACTGAAACTATAATTTTTTGCGATTCCTATGTGTGCTAAATTTGAAGAACTTTTCCTTCCAGTTATTATATGCTAAAATAATGTTTGTTCCCAATAGAATATATAGAAATGCTTTGTTGAATCTGACATATTAAAAGGTTAAAGGTGTTTAAATCCTTCTGAAAATGAGTTTTTTTTTAATGGTGTTTCACTGACAGATTTGGATTCTGTTCCTCGGTGCCATGTTTGGGTTTTCTTCTTACGGACCAATTGCCTTGTATGGAGTGATAGCGAGTGAAAGCGCTCCTTCTAATTTCTGTGGAACATCTCACGCAGTTGTTGCTCTGATGGCGAATGGTAAGCTGCTGGTTCACATGATTAGAAATAACAAATAATAAAAGCCTTTGAGGACTCCTTCATACAACTGAAGTCTCTTTGTTTTTGTCACAGTGGGGGCTTTCATGGCCGGGCTTCCCTTCAGCACTATTGCCAAGCAGCACAGCTGGGACATGGCCTTCTGGGTAGCTGAGGTCCTAATGGGCATCACCACCATCGCATTCTTCTTTGTGCGTAACATGCGCACCAAAATGGGACGGATCGCAGAGAAACTGGACTAATACCCACTGTTGGGGGGAGAATACGGCACAATGATTGAACTGGAATTTTAACAAACAAACTACTGTCAAACAAATGAATCTGAGGACACTTTTAGATCATAAATAACTTTATAGATACTTAATATTTGTTATGAGATATACACTTTTTTATTGATTTAATCATCACCAGCACAAAAATGCAGCAGATCACAGTTCTTCAAAAACATATAATTAAAGCACACGCTCTGTTCTTGACACATTTCTATAATGTTGTGCAGCTCAGTGCATTCATGTGTCTCCACTAGTGTTTTACCAATACCAGTGTCAGGTGGTATCGGTATCGGCGAGTACCAACAAATAGGGCACCGATACCATTTTGAGAACCTAAAGTTTATTCAACTATTGTCACCCATTCCAGGTAGGCAATAAAAAGTTCTACTGGAGTCACTTTGTATTAGTCTTTTTCCTGCTTCACAAAGGTAGGCAGCAGCTTGACAAAGCCATGATGGCAATTATTTTACATCCAAGTAGTATGCAGTTCTTCATATATACACACACATTAAAGGTACACTATGCAACCGGTGTTGATTTTCCAGCGAGGCTCCCCCCAGAGGGCGAAAGTAAAAGTGCACTGTCGTAAATATGCTCAGCTGTTCTCCTGGTTTCTCCGTCAAGCCAGGCGCGGTTGTTTTGAGCTTAGCAGACAGGCGAACGCAACGAATCACCATGTCTACTGCGGTAAGTGACTATTTTGTTGTTTTGTTTTCATACATTATTTGTTATGCGTGTGTCTAAATAACAAAGATTGTATTTAGCAAAATTCTCGCCGTAAAGCAAGACTGACTCTCGCGATGCACGAGACTTCTGAGCCTGTGGGTGCGGGCCGAGGCCTCCTGCAATTGCAAGTGCGGTATTTCCCTTACAGACCACCAGGGCGGCCGAGAAAACCTTTGTTCAACCTGAAATGACTCATTTAATCATCCAAAACGTTATGGAACACATTAATTAACTGAAAAATGTTGCATAGTATGCCTTTAATTTCAAACAGAGGGTATCAGTATCAGCTGATACTGCACAGCCAGGTATCACACTAATATTTTCCATTCTAAACAACACTAGCATTCGTCTCTCTAAAGCAGGGGTCACCAACCTTTTTAAGGCTGAGGGCTACTTCATGGCTACCGAGTCATAGGAAGGGCTACCAATACTGACCTATGAACTGGAGGGATCAGTGTTCACCTACAGTAAATCTCATCCATAAAAATCCATTTTTATTCTTATTTTATTCTTTTATTCATTTCTAATTTTCATTTTAATGTTGTCATTTTGAAACCACTGAAATATGATGAAATAGTTAACATGATGAAATAATACATAAATGATTAAAAAGAAGAGCAACAGAATAAAAAAATAAATAAACTTAACCCACTGAGTGAGTTCTTCTGTTTTCAGAAGATGAACCCTTGGTGCCCGCGGGAACTGCGTTGGTGACCCCTGCTCTAAAGTGTAATTGTATCTCAATACAATATTCGGTGCAGCTCATTGCATCAATGTGTTTTCACCTAATGAATGTTTCCAGACAATTTTTCCAGGGTTTCAGTCAGATGTTTAAATTCTCCAATTATGAAAACGGATGTCAGCCCTGATGCAGTAGAGGCCGCTTCTTCACAGACTGACACCGAATCTTTAGAATTACTCATATTTTGGGATAAAAAATGTTCATAAAAAGGAAAAAAATAAATAAAAAGGTCTTCAACTAAAACTACTTCATAGTATAACATTGTTATAATAAGCTAAATAGTTATTGGATTCATCGATAAACAATCTGAACTGAATTAATCGGGTTACTTTCCATGATGGAAAAAAAAACGTCCTTAAAGGTTCATCATATGAAATATGTAAAAAAAAAATTAAATAAAACATGAAAAAATCTTTGTGTTTCTATTTTCTTTATAAAAATCTTTATTTAGAAAAGTCTTATTATCTATCTAGCTGCTGTTCTTTTTGTCGAGGACCTGATGTATGTAATCTGTTCCGGTGCAGCAAGAATTCGCTGTAATTAACAACAATACCAGAGATAGCAGCACGCAGCTATGCTAACATCACTTTAGTTGTTTTGCTTTAAATTTACCTTCAGTTTGTTGTCTGTTTTTTTATGGTGATGTGCATTTGCTGTAAAAACTGTGTTCAACTTCAAAAGAAAATGCTACACGATCTCTATGGAGGAGCAAAGAAATATAAGTATTTAAAATCTTAAACACAAATTATATAATTAGAAAATCCAATTTAAAAAGATTTTTTTAAAGCTACAGTGTGTAATTTTCAGCGACATCTAACGTTCAGACTTCAGACCGCAGCAACATGAACATCTCCCCTCACCGCTTCTTCCCCCCAACAGTACGGCGAGCGTTACGGGACAAAATGTCTTCCACGACGTCCGCATCACCTACCTTCTCAAGTGATGAGGTTTGTTTACATAGATAATTTTAATACTGCCATCTATTGTTCAGTACCGTCTCAGTTCATCTCTCTCAACTTGCCGTAGTTACTTTCGAGCGTAATGGGCGATCTCGCAATCGCTAGTTTGTTGGCTCTGCGCTGCCGTAGCGCAAAGATGTCTGCCTCCATGGCTGCGAGACCCACTCCTATGTAATTATAAATAACGAATTCTAAGGCAACGCAAATATTAAGGTTAAGAGGCTGAGCTCGTAGATGATGATAAATAACATAGTTATATATAATATATTACATTTCTGACTGTATATCCCTGTAATTATTACACACTGTAGCTTTAACTACAAATTTTAGTTTAAATCATAAGAGGAACTGTAAATTGTATGTATCATCCCATTACTAAATAATGCAATTTGAAAAGGTTTTCTTAAAAAAAAAAAAGTAGAATTCATAAATATATTTCCTATTAAACATTTAAACAGCCAATTCCTTTTAAAATCCTTTTTAGAATTGCATTTTTTTAAATGTTTTTCATTTCTGCTTTTGGGTCACTCCCTCAGAAGTAGGATGCTTATTACTTTCGTATCTGATCTATTTTTTCCCCAAAATCAAAAAGGAAACTACATTTCTACAAGAATTTGTTTTCAAGGTTTTTTTTTTTAGGTCTGGACGAGTACGGGAAAAGAATAGAGAAGAACAATTTTAATATACATACTTGACTATTTTCTTTCTTCTTTCTTTATTTCTCATTGTTCTTTTTTCTACTTCTAAACTATGACCTTCATTTCTCTTCTCCCGTCCTTCCTTCTTTCCTTCCTCAAGTCTTTCTTTTCTTGCATCCTTCCTTCCTTTCATTGCCATACATCTTCAGTGTCTTCCTTTGTCCTTCCTCATTTCCATTCTTGTATCTTTCTGTTCTTTCCATCTTTGTGCCCTTTCTTACATCCATCTTTTTCTTGTATCCCTCCACCTTAAATACACCCGCCCCACCCCCCAATCCATGTCCTATGGTCTTACTTCTATCCTCACATTATTTCCTTGTGACCTTGCTTTCTTGTTATTCCTTGTTCCTAATTGGATCCTTCCCTTTCTTCCTTGTGTCCTACATCCTTCCCTTGCTATCTAATTCCATTTGTTATAGTTTCTATATATAAAGCCTGTCACAATATATATGAAGCTGCACAAATCTATGTCATAAATCACACAGCAGTTCATTTAGATACCTCTCGAATGGAAGGAAAGAAAATTGTGGAAAAATCTAACATGATAAATGAGTAGAAAGCTTTTATTTCCACATATTTCACAGTGAAGTTAGCTGGCATGGCATGATTGTTACCTTGGCATGTTATTCAATTATTTTCAGGTCCAGATCATTCATACAGTTTTTCTACCCAAAGCTAAGAGGTTCAGACCAGTCAGCTGCATGTCACTGGTTCCAGTGGGGGCAACACAGGCTGCTTCTCACTGACTGGACGTCCTCAGAACTGATAAATGTACTTTAATATCCTGCAGTCAAATATGTCTTCTCAGTATTTTGCCAGGACCTGTTCCCATATGGTGACTGGACCTCATAGACACTCAACAAGGTAAACAGAAGTTATCCTCTTTAAATCACCAGGTAGTTATTCTTAGTAGTCTAGCTGGGAAAAAAAAAAAGAAAAAAAAAGGAAGGGGGATGGTGCATACATATCCTAATTAATAGATTCTATTAACCTAAAGCAATATGCATGGCATGGTTGTTACATGTCAGGTTTGCCGGTCATTGACCTTGACCAAGGTCAATGACCGGCAAGGGACTCATTTCCCACTGGGATCAGCTTTATAGTCATTGTAGGAAACTTCTTCGATTTTATTTATTTTGCTCAGGCTACTCCTAAGCCCACAGCCTGCTAAATATTGAAAGGGCAATATTATTGCCATTGCTTTTTTTTGTTTGTTTGTTTGTTTTTTGCCATCCCCCCTCATTATCTCAAGTACTGGTTACTCTCACTTTTGAAGCCTCAGAGGCTGTTACAGCGTCACGAAAAGATATTTGCTAGTTGTTCGAATCTGTTTATGTAAGATTTTTTCAATTGGTTTGTGTTTTTAATAGTTTCTATGACTAATCTTATACATACAGTTAAATTTAACTTGAGTTTCAACTGAAAAACTCCCATTTTAAATCATTTACAGCAACTTCTTTAAGAGAATCTGGTTTTCTTTTATGTCAAAGGTGTTAGATAACCTAGTATTTCCCTTCCTGCTTCTAAGGTTCCCTTCAAGGATTCCCCTGTTTTAACTCATTTACCCCCCCATCCACTCTGACCAGCTCTCCTTTCCCTACTGAGGAACATCAATGCTGCTATCGCCATGTTTTACCATTGGATCATTGTATTCATATTGGGTGTCCATTTTCTGAGTAACGTAACTATTTGTGGAGGAGTTATTTCTCCATTTTAAGTTGAATCTTAGAATTTAGATTATTTGTTTTGATTTGTTATATAGAACATGTTTTTGGTTAGTGATTCACTTAATTAATTCTAGCTTGGGATGTGGGTGTTTCACAGTATAAATAGGTAGGTCTTAGGTAGCTCATTATGTACGTGGGTAGTCATATGTTGTTTTTTTTTTACCAGTTTTTAGTCACAGTTTCAATCAATCAGTCAGTCAATCAAAGAACGGGTGCAGGAATAAGAGTGAGAGCAATAGAAGAATCCAGTGAAGCCTGTAACCTGTTTTGTCTGAAAGGAGAATAAAATAAGCGAAGAACTGGATTTTTCACCCTTTTTTTTTCTTTTTGGACTGCGTAAACCAGAATCCACGTTGCAATGGTTGACTATATTAGGTAAATTCACCTTTAAGTTTTTTTTATTTTAGTTTTGTACAAATAGTCACTACAATTTGCATTTACCAAAAAGTTGTATTTCGGTTTCACTTGCTTCACTGCAAAATGGACTCTCTGAGACATTCTCTCAAGAATTATTTTCTTCCAGCTAATTTCCAAAAAGTCCACATTTTCAGGGTAATGTTTTCTGGCCACAACAAAATGTTTATTTTTAGTAGGAAAAAACATTTTTTCCCCCCATCATACTCCAGTCAATCCTCTGATCAGAGAGTGATGTTACTGAAAACAGGCTGGGTTACTTTTCCCCTTTGGTCAGAGCATACTGTGTAAGATTAGACCAGAGTTAATCTGTTGGAGTGAAACCCATGTGTCCACTCATTAATTTTACTGGTAGCATACTTACCTAAAAAATGCAAACCCATTCGTTTGGTTCCCATATGATAATGGCATTTAATGTTTAACCTCGTTGCCATTAGTGACCAAGTTAGTGTTTAGCTTTACTCCTGTCAGAATGTCTGTACAGGGGTGCATTAATACTCAAAAAAAAGACAATGGTTTTTGCATCCATGATCATTTCTAAAACACAATTGCATGATTAAATTGTGTATTTATTAAACATTAGGTATTTTTAAAAATCGAAATGGAAAACAACTTGTCTTGGGGCCTGAATGAAGCACAAAAAAAAGGAAGAACCAGTGTAATGATCACTGAGACAAACTTATCTTTGGAGAAAAAAAAAGACAAGCCTGATACTGTTTATGTGATATAATAAAGTCTGTTTTTTCTGATTAGATTCATCAAATCAACTTAATTTTATAGTTGTTGTTCTGTTTACATTGCTGTTGCAATTAGAACCATAAAATACAACCCACAAACTTTTAATGTAAATAAACTGCATACTATTATATTTAGTAACACAAAATGATGAGGCATATCAATAAGAAACTTTAAACAGCAATGCAAGAGCTGCAATTAGTCTGTAGGTCTGTGATTAATCTGATAGTCAGACACTCTATTGCAGCAATAATCACTGCCGGAAATAGAGGACCCCAAAATCTAATTTTACCCCGTGAAGGTTTGGGTAGAAGAGCAACTGTAGAAGGGAATGGATGTTATATTAAATAAAACCTTTATATATTCAACCAAGTGATATTCAAGTGAATGTTGAAATATAATAATCATTATTTCTTTGTTAACTTCCTGTATAATTTAGGAATATAACAGAAGAACAATACAAACTGGCTGAAAGCTGCAGGCTACTGTGGAGCTATCCATGGTGCTGATATTGGCCTCATATTTTCGTTGCATTTTATCTTTAAGACACCCTTTTCTAAATAATGTAATGGAATCTTTTAAAAGTAAAATACCAAAACAATACAAAAAATGTTATCAAAACGTGTTTTTTAAGATTTAAGCAACATGCAATGAACAGAAAACTTTCTGTTTCTATTCTTGGCTAATATTCAACTCTTTCATAGCTATTCCATTTAAAGTGCATCGTTTTGTTTTCCCTTAGTAACTAACTTGATTCAGTCTCTTTCAAAGGGCTGCAATTATCGACTCGTTAGAAAGAAACAACATAACAGCTACCAACTGAGTTTTATTGGTTTGTTAACAATCATTACACAAGCACAACTCTAGACAAATAAAAAAAAAAACTGCACATGTGGACTCGATACAGACACCTAAAACCCACAGAAATATGGCTACTGTTGGTTTGAAAGGACAGTTTGTCTGTTGGCTGTAAGGAAGCCGACCTCAGGAGATTTTTAATGTAAATACTAGTTCAGCATGGCTAAAGAACAAGTTCCTTTTATAACCATCCTTACAAGGTACCGTTACATACTGCAGATTGAAAACTCTTTCAGCACAGCAGCTTTACAAATTTATTGCGATGCTATCACACGACAGACACAACCAACACATGCACAGTTTCAAATGGGGGTGCCGCAGAACTAGGAATTTTAGGATTTATTGAGTACGATGGTTAAGAAAACTGCATGAATGACCAAATAGGAAAAGAAAAAACTTACAAACATTCTAAAACACTGTTCTTCAATATAAACAAGAAAACAATGAGTTGTACGATGACATCCACCCCCCCACGCACTACAGACTGTCCCTTATAAAGCTTATGGAATGTACTCCACGCAGGTAAGCTCTTCCAGTTGTTGCCCCCGCCCGTCAAGCTTCCGTGTTTGACGCGTCCGCCCACCCGTACCCCCCCTCCTTCACATTTAGACCTGAAATAAAACCCACCGACAGTAACGATGTCCGCATAATCTCGTGGATGTAAAATTGTGGGGTATGATGAGTTTCCCTGTGTCCAAATTGGTGTTTCGTTTTAAAAAAAAGTGTTCTCTACAATCAAACTACTAAAAAACCTGTATTTAGAAAATAGTCGATAAAAATATTCCCCTGAATTGTACAAGAAAAGAGGTACAGGGAGCACTGATAAAAGACAGAGCTGGAGTGATGTTATTCAGCTGCCTCATCTTTCTGATCGGCTGCGTTCGTAGCGGGAGCCTGGAAAACAGAACAAACAGATGAAAAATGGCTCTGAGAAGATGCGTTTCCTTTTTAGGAGCTCATCCGTGGTGATCTAAGCCTCACCTCTTCCTCAGCTTTGGCTTCACCGTTCTCAGCTGGGGCCTCTGGTGCTTTTTCCTCAGGCTTGGCCTTCTCCACCTCCTTGGCTTTCTTAGCCTTAACGGGTCCCTTCTACAAAAGAAACACCAAACTAATGAGCCTTTCCTGAATAAGGGAGCTTTGCATTTAAAGTCGCAGGGAAGCGGCTGTTTCAACCGTTGTTTGAAGTCTCCCGAGTGGTGCCCGACTTTACACGAGTGAATAAAGTGAATGTGATTGATTATCAAGGGGGCGGGATTATTATGGCGGAAGGTTCGCAAGCAAGTTTGATTGTGCCCGGTTTGTCGGAAGTATCTTGCTAACCAGTTAGCAACTTAGTGCTAGTAGGTTCCCAATAGGAAATTCCATTGGGACCAAGTAGCACTAAATTGGTGACTTAGAAACGACACTGTCAAGGAACGCTATGGACAGAGGAAACATGCAAGAGGAGGAGAGTTTAGTGTTGGAGGTCGTGGATGATTCTCCTCCATCATACATTTTTTATTTAGAGGAGGAAAGCGGGGATGAAGATGTTGTGGAAGAGGACGCCAGGGCGGCAGAAGTTTGGTTTGGTGTAGAAGGCTTCCAGCCGTACATGTTTGAGCCCTTGCCTCACAACGCTGCCAGTTCTGTTAGCTCTACGCCTGCTGAAGACACAGATGTCCATCCCCGTGAACACTGAGACGTTTTCTTATTTCAACCGCTGTGTATATTAGCTGCGACATATGAATCAAGATGCTATGACCGAAAAAATCTGACAGATGACTGTTGATAAACGATGGCCAAAATTTACGTTTACAAGCTGACGTATAACTAACTGGCCTGCATAAGATAACGGAAAAAAACAAAGGATTTCAAGACGTGATTTTTTTTTTTTATAGAAATGTCTAACTTTTGGGACAATAATGTCTGATAAAGGGGACATTTATATATATATAAGTTTAAGCTAGAATGACTTGACATTTAAATATGATTTCCCTACGACTTAAAGCTTAATAAAAAAATAACTACCTTTGGCTTGGGTTTGGCCTCTGCTTTTGCAGGTGCGGGTTTCTGTGAAAAAAATGAAAACATATATTACAGCACTGTCAACAGTTAAAGGTTTATTAGTGAACGGATGCACTTTTCTGCACTTACATCTTTCAACCTAAGAGATCTCCTCTTGGGCTGTGGATAAAACAAACAGTGATTACATTTTAAATTCTTGGCATGTCCTAATATGTTGTTAGTGACCCCTACTGGGTATTTTACTACCCCCATCCAACATAAAGTATATCCTACATCAAATCATAGTATTTGTATTGATTCTTACCGCTGAGTCTCCTCCTGCTGCTGCCTGTAAACACACAGGAAGAAAAGGATAAAAACTATTAGTGGGTGTGTAGTACAGGTTTATGTATTAGCTATTGAATGCAAAATGCACATTTCCAGACAGACTTTTTCCATCTGTTCTGCAATAAAGATGAAAACCTCCAACCCAGTTTTTTAGCTTTACTTAACAATTTGCATCACGTTTCTGCTTTAAAGTGATCAAAAAGGTGTGATCTAACAGGACTGAGGGCAGCATATCATCTAAGATTACCCAATCCAAAAGCTTTAAATGGGTTTTTTAAACAATATATACATATAATTCCTTAGTAGTTAAAATTTGTATTTTATTTTTGCTTTCTTTAGATTGATTAGCAGGTCAAACCCCTAAGTTGCTTCCAGTTTAATGAATACATCTAAAACTTTAACTAGTTTCCTACTGTCTTTAACTACGCATGCAAAGCTATAATCTTTTGATCCAGTTATTTTCTGGAGAACATTTACCAAAGGTCCAATTTCATTAAATTTCATTTAAGTAAGAATCAGAGCTCAATCAACTCAATCAGGATCCCCAATGGTGGAGGTGTTCAACAGGGGGTCCGCGACCCCTAGGGGGTCCACGGAGGTACTGCATGAGGGTCATGAAAGTTTTGGTTGATTACACTTTTTTTTAATATCCCACCTACAATTTTTTCCACTAATTGAAATGTCTTTAAATCCACATTAACATGAATTTAACAAACGGTAGTAAACAGATAAAAGGAGGCAGAAGATGTCTTTTAGTCATCAATGCTCAGATTCAGCGACAGGAGCTCTTTTAAGCTGGGCACCATTTCATTCACAACACCTGTCCCATCAACCAGGATTCAGAAACACTTTAATAATCCCAGGGAGAATTACTTTCATTACATTACTCCATCTGTAATAGAGTGACTATAGGACCTGTATAAGGATCCTTATAATTAGGGGGTCCCCGCTCCATCTCGCCATCAGTTTGGGGGTCGCTGTCCTGGAAAACGTTGAAGACCCCTGCCCAACTGTTATTATCTAAACAAACCTTTACCACGCATGCAATTAATTAAAGTCAATTGTTTTCTGTGCTGTGTCGACAGGTAAAATCACAACAAATAAATCCTTGTTGTTTTCCGGCTCGTTTTTTGTCGTTTCAACTCCGGCTTCCGACAAACATACGAGTCCAGCAACACTGATGCGTCTGTGCATGCATGGAGCCCATAGAGCAAAACACTGTATCATTTCAAGAAAATCCTGTTACCAATACAGGAGTTGTTTCTAACTGACTTGATACACTAAACTGTGTTTAAAATCTGTCAACTTGATGAATTGCTGAAAAAATGTCTCATCTTTTGCCGTTTATCATTAAAACTATCAAGAATTTTGAAGCAGCCTAAAAGGAATAGGAACGTTTCAGTCGTTGAGTTTTTATTTTAATTTTCTCGTCGTGTCCTACTTTTTCTCTCAGTTATCACTCAACTTATTTAGTAAATAAACTTATAATCTTAGTTTATTTACTGTTTTTACTGCACTTATCGTCTTAAAATTATGATTTATAACCCTAGCCCACAAGCATCGTCATTCACATTTTCCCCAAAATTTTCACAATAAATGTTTACATTATTTATTGGCAGCATCTAAAAATATCAAAGATATTTTGAATTTAAAAATACATATGATATTATACAATATAACCTACAATAATGTATATTATATCATTGTTTTGCCATACCTTTCCTCTCAGTTATCACTCAACTTATTCAGTAAATAAACTTATCATCTTAGTTTATTAACTGTTTGTACTCTACTTATTGTTTTAAAATCCTAGTTTACAAGCGTCCTCATTTTCCCCTAAATTTTCATGTTATAAGTTTACATTATTTATTGGCTGCATATAAAAATATCAAAGATATTTTCAATTTAAACATAGATGTGAAATAATACAATAAGTTATATTGTATCATTGTAGTAGGTCATCATCATCTCTTCAGTTCAATAAGCTGCCTGTAGTGTCTCTAAATGTCCAGCAGATGTCAGTATTCTGTGAGACAGTATCAATACAGTTTGGAAGTGTGTCGAAGCGCATGGAAGTTCACGTTTCTGCCACGAGGTGGCGCTCCTCCAGCATCTGCTAGCAGCTTTCCTACAGCAGCGTTCCGGCAGGGAGGGGGAGGAGGACTCCGCCTCCATCTTTTCTCTCGGTAATAAATGGGACTGGGCTAAAGTCCGAGCTGAAGTGAGCGACGGCAGATTCCCGCCAGGAGTTTGAAAAGAGTCTGAGATGCTGCTAGGAGAATATGCTAGAAGCCCCAGCAACAGGAGCAGCGCTGCGATGACGAAGGCTCGCCATTGCATAACCTCCAAGTGGCCTGAGCCGTCCTGAACACAGGGGGAAGCGCTCACTGAGCACGACGAATGTCCAACTATACAGGAGTTTTTTCTCCAGGAAATGATGGCGGACACACATTTAACAATCAAACAAGTGATGTTTTAATGAAGGAAAGCCAAATTAAAGCTTTTAGTTTACTATACACTTTTAATACCGCACAAAATAAACATGAAGCTGATAAACCCAGCGCGCATTTTTTCCTGATTTTTTGTTCTCTTTATATCGTTTCCCTCCATGAAACTTTGGTTCTCAGAGAAAACAAATCAATATGCCGCCAACTTTCTGTGCAGAAACGCTGTCCAGCAGCAGCGGGCCACCTCTGCCCGACAAAACAAACAACCACCGCACTTTCACGCAACTGCATTCTGCTTTAGCGGGGATTCCTTATGCTGTAAGTGGACAGAAAGATAAGCAGGCGGAGTGGAAATCACCAAGATAATCACTGCACGTACGAACAACAAGCCATGCAACAGAGCACTACAAACAAAAACTACAGCAACACGCCGCCTTCCTGCACAAAACTCGCATTTTGCATCAGCGGATGATCCGCTCAGCTTAACACCAAACCATTAATCCACGATTGCAACACTGGGTTATAAATACATTATTACTGAATGGATGAAGTATATCCGTCTACTCACTTTGCTCCTTTTAGGCATGGTTGGTTTGTGTGGGGGAGTATTTATAACGAAAAATAAAAAAAAAGATGAAAAAAATGAGCCGAATTTAAAGTAAATGGAACAGAAAATGCAGCGGTATATTCTGGATAAAGCTGTGCCAATACAGCCAGATACAGCGCCGCGAGACGTTACTGGTCCATTGGAAGGAAAAACTAGCTCAAACCGGATTGGATTCTCCCCCTCCCTCTCGTTTCAAACCCTTACGCTCCCTGCGTGATTGACGGCGCTATACCCCGCCCCTTCTGAGCATTGATTGGACGAGAAGGTGGAGAACGGCGCTTTTCAAGGCCGTGCTCTTACCTGTGTGGATACGTCACATGTCAATCAACAGACATGCTATGTGTCTCTGTTTGCAGCCGCCTGCCATAACAAGGCAAAATTATTAAAGCTTCATTCCACTCCGTCGAAAAATGTCCCCCTTCCCTTTTGTACATCAACCAGGAATATTTCTAAGCACATCTGCGACACCGAACCTCTTCGCTCTTTACTATTAGTGAAATAAATCATATTTATTGCCGTGTGTTTGTTCAGAAAACTCATAGAGGGGTGTGTGCTCCCTTGGCCGAGAATCTTGGGCGAGCGGTTTAACTGGGGAAAATGGCGACAGGATGCATGTTGGTACAGTTCCTAGAGCGTGTGCGTGTGTCTGCCCGTGTATTCTTGTGCAACCTGCCTGTCATGTGTTACTTGAAGTCTCCTTCTGCAGGGTGTGCTCAGTGTCCACGCATGACTTCAGTGGAAACAAGTGCGTTAGGCTTTTAACACGTCCATTCACAGACATTCACTCACTTTTTTACAAGTGAAACAACAGCGTCCTTATTGTTACTTTTTTATAATCCCATGACCTATAAAATGAATTGGTGCCATGCACATCAGCCACAGTGTTCAGATAAAAATACTAGCTGGTGGATTAACTAATTGATGGAAATAGTTAAAAACTCCGGATGAATGTTCATATAGAGAGATTTAATAAGGTGTAGATGTGCAAAACACTGCACCCCTGGATTGGGCACCAGAGGGCATTTATATGTGAGGAGGAAAAGCGTTAGAGCAGCAGCTTCCAGAGCCCCTGATAATGAGCAGAAATAGAGAAGGACAAAAGATGCAATGGGAAATTTTGTGTCTTTTCTTTCATGGTTTCTTCCCTTTCCAATAATGCCCTCTTAGCCCGAGATGAATTTGTGCAACCTTGCAAAAATATTAATATCCCTTCACAGTTTTATTTCTGCATTATTTAGCTCACATTCTCAAGCACAGATGAGGTGAACTTGAAAAATAAATAAATAAATGAAAGCTTCTGATAAGTCCACCTGTTTTCTGTTTTGATTCTGCAGACATCTAGTCACCAACCAGAGTCCACCTGGGTTTGGTTTAATCCCATTTTTAATCTAGCTGTTTTCTGTAGTCCTCAGATGTTTGTTTGAGCATTGATTACCAGAGCTGGTGCCTGGACCCCGTTTAGAGTCACCGATCAACAAATATGGGTCTGGAGATCCTCTACAGAAATTAAACCATATAATAAGTATGATCTGTATAATCTGGTGAACTGTAAAGTGCCTTGAGATGACATGTGTTGTGAAATGACGCTTTATAGATAAACTGAATTGAATAAAAACAATAATGCAAAGTATGTTTTTGTTATAGTATTTTAAGATATAAGAATATCAAATACAAATATATTGAATTAAGTACATTAATTGTTGATGATGTTTGTATTATTATTATTACTGTGGTATTATTGCGGTTAATAGATTTTACAGACATTTCTGTATTAGTTCATTTTTATCATTATATGGATCAACAGCTAAAACTAACCTGTGTCTGAAAACTTAAGTGATCAAATAGAATCCCAAATAACCACAGCTGACAGGTATGTATATGATATAGAATCTGAAGCAGAGGAGGGTTGAAAAAGATATCAGACAAACAAAGAAGTTTAAGAGTAAAACGATGATAGGAGATGGCCGATAGGAGCATGTATCAGAGAAGCAGCCTGAAGGCCCTTTGGTATCTGGAAGATTAGCACAGGCGGGACATGAGGTGTGACTCTGAAACTGTTAAAAACAATAAAATAGAAATAGTTGTTGTCGATGGAACCCACAAGATGTCCTTTAAAAGTGGAAAAAACTATCTAGAAATAAGTAAAAATTTCTTAAATTAGTATATTTACCCTTAATTTTAAAATGAGATATTTTCCCAATGGAATTAGTATTTTTAGTCTTAAAATAAGCACTTAAAATAAGAAAATGCAATTGTGTTCCATTAGCAAAATGTCTCTGAACAAATTCACTTTTTTTTAAGAAAAAATTTCTTATCTAGATTTTGATTTTTTCCAGTGAACTCAAGAAACACATCCACAACCTGTGGAAGAAGGTGCTCTGGTCAGATAAAATATCTAACAGTTTAGTACTGACATGTTAACTGACATAAACTGCAAATTTAATTCCATTAAATAAATAAAACATCAATGTAAACGATTTACTGAACTCTAAGGAACATTAACTGTAGTTTTGATCTTATAAGCTTATCCATAGCTGCAGGCAAGATCAATCTCCTGTAGAGCTTTGTAGGGAGATGCCTTGCACCAAGGACTCTGTTTCAATTCAGTTTATTTATATAGCGCCAATTCACATCACATGTCATCTCAAGGCAATTTACAGTTCACCAGATCATCCAGTCAAATTGATTCAGTTTTCTATCTAAGTAAAACCAGTTGATTGCATCGAGTCATTGACTCAAAGGCAATCCCTCACATTAAGCATGTTCTAGCGACAGTGGAGAGGAAAAACTCCCTTTTAACAGGAGGAAACCTCCAGCAGAACCAGGCAATGATCTTTAACAATCTTCTGAAGAGGATGCTCAGGGTTGTCCATAATGTTCTTCATTTAATGAAGAACTCTTAGTAAAATCCTCTTCAGAAGAGTTCCTAGAACAGAGCTAGCCTTGTCTATTAGCCTATTGAGCTTCCTTTAAATGATTGTTTCGATGCTGTTACTCCAACAGATAATGGCAACAGATCATAATCTCCACTGCAGAATTACTAAAGATACATGACATGCGGCATCTTGCTGCAAACACTAAAGGAGTTTTTCTTAAAACAGTCTGCTCTGTCCCTTCTACTAGACGTTTTAACAATAATGTTGTCAAACACTGATGAATTTATATTCCGTGTCCAGTTTTTCTACCAGTTTCATCCAATTTAAAGTGTTTGAATTGCTCCTGTTTATTCCGAAATCACCCCCCTCCCCTGATTTTATTCAGATTCATGATGAGATTATTGTTTCTAGGGTTGAAACAATTGTTTGGCTTATTTGCGATTTATTGATTATTGAAATGACTGTAATGTAATTTAGTAATCAGTTAATTGTCAACTGTAGTATAGAGACTGTAAAACATGACCTTAGCTGACAGAGCAACCTACTTGGAGCAGTGATTATATCAAAATTGTAAAAATATATATATTATTTTGCATTTAAGATTTAAAAAATTGTATGCATTTCTAGGCGCAGCTGAGGTGTTGAGGGGAGCTTTCTTGGTGGCCTTAGGATTACATCTCTGTTATCCGCAGATGATGTGGTTCTATTGGCTTCATCAGAGCGTGATCTACAGCTCTCAGTGGAGCGGTTCGCAGCCGAGTGTAAAGCGGCCGGGATGAGGATCAGTGCCTCCAAATCCGAGACCATGGTCTTGAGCTGGAAAAGGGTAGAGTGCCTTCTCTGGGTTAGGGAGGATGTACTGCACCTAGTGGAGGAGTTTAAGTATCTTGGGGCCTTGTTCACGAATGAGGGGAAGATGGAGTGGGAGACTGATAGGCGGATTGGTGCGGCATCTGCTGTGAAGTGCGCACTGTACCTGGTTTAAATTCGTAAAAAGTCTTGTTTAAGGAACCTTTTGCTATCCGATTATTAACCGATTAATTGAAAATAATTGTTTCCACACTCTTCCAAAAAGTGGTCCATAAGCTTCCTGTACTCAGCTTCCTGTTGCACTCTGATACAACTTACAACTTCACACTTAACCGAGTCTGATTGTATTGGAAATCAGAGGTGTAAAGATTAAAAATGAAAGGTGAAAGTATAGTCCCCTGTGGTGCTCCTGTGCTGCTGCTTGATTTAATTGAAATGAAGTAGCGATCACATTTTGCTGCAGACCATGAAGGTGACACAGTCATCTGGTAGAAAGTGCTTTAGTAAAATGAGATGCAGACCTGAAAATATTAACTCTATTATAAACACTTGGTTTGATGGAAAACTGTCAGTGAATAAGTTCCAGAATAAAGCATCCATGTGAAGACATCTGATGGTAGCTGCTGTGGGGACAACTTTCTTCACAGAGGTAAGAAGATTGTCAAAGCCAAGGAGCAGGGTCATCCTGGTGGAAACCTACTGAAGACTGAGGACAGACCTGAGACTTTCAGCAGTAGCCTAATCATACAGAGCTACAAGGAAATGGTTTAGATCAGAACATAGTCACATGTTTGGATGGTCTAATCAAAGTCCAGACCTAACCTGAAACCTCAGTAATCTCATAAAAAAGGTCATATATATATACATATATATATATATCCTCAATAATACAATATGATCCATCATGTAAAACTGAAATAAATACACCAAGGTCTGTTGTTGTTTTGTAAAGCCATGAGGACAAAAAAGGGAGCGTTGGTTAAATGGGGTCAAAGCTTAGCCTTTTTGGCCCTACATGTGTAAAGCCATGAATGAAGGCAAACTATAAACACTATATACATCTATACAACATATTCTCATTATCAGTTCGTATGAAATCGTACGAAAAGTTATGAACACTATTTCGTACGTTTTGGACGTTTTTCCTCAAAAAACCAGATCAGTGCGCATGTGCAGGCAGACAGACAAAAAAAGCAGATCCGCGGACGGACGTAAAAATGGGAAAAACAGTGCAATAATCACTTCTTCATGTCTCTAACTACGTGGCTTGCTGTTTTATATCTTAGGTTTAGGGTAAGGGTCAGGGTTAGGGTTAATTGTATTCTAAATTCTATGTTCTTGAATGGTGCGTAAGATGCGCATGCGACGAAAAAAACGTCCAAAACGTACGAAATTACGGTGCATAACTTTTCGTACGATTTCATACGAACTCATAATGAGAATACACTGATCTATAATGTACCATGAATCTGCAGTATGTTTTGGGAAACAACGTGGTGGCAACATCAAGCTGAGGTAAACAGGAGGAAGCTATTTAAAATAAAAAAATGGACATATAGACTGTGTCTGAACGTCACTGTCACTACCTGATCCGGCCTGGAAGCACGATCCATCCTGAGCATGCGCCATCAGCTCATTTTTGCATCCGCATCCAGATATACATCTGGGTTGACCTTCATTTTATTTTGTTGAAAATACCTAAATTACGTTTTTCCTGCCCCAAAATAGTAAGTGTACTAAAATATAACATGTTAAAGGTTGATAATGTATTTCCTGAGAAAACTAATGCCTTAAAATCCTTTATCACTCATCTCTGCCTGATCTGCACCGGAAATGGGATCCTGCGCTACTTCCGGGAGCTAACTTTTTAGGCTTTGGATTTAAACATACATCTAGTCTTTTTGAGTTTTATGTTTTCCTTTCGTGTTACATTATGCTATATAGTGCGAAATTTAAAGAAAGAAATAACTTAAACACAGATAAACATGTATTAATCATATTTTGCCTGACTGCTGATGATGACGTCAGAGAAGCAGTTTAACAAAGAAAATGTAAAAAGCATCAAAACTGTCTCACAAAAGTCATAAAAAAATTTTTAAAGATGCGTATTAGCATTCTTTAGAGAGTTAAGGAGAGAAATAAGTAATTTTAGTACAATAACAACATTAACCCTGGTTGTATATCTGTTCGCGCATGCGCAGGACGAATCGTGTTTTCGGGACGGATCGGTTAGTTACAGGCTGCCCTAATCAGTATGAAGGGCGCTGTATAGTGGCTGAATGAGTGTCCAAACATCTAGAGGATGTAAAAGTAGTGGACTTGAAATTTCCCACAACGCACCTTGAAAAATAGTGATAGCCACGGTTAATTGACGAGCAAAAATATCCAGGAATGCTTCACGAGGGGAGCTTTCCTAGCAAAGCATTATGGGATTTGCTGTCACAACGGCCTGCTGTTGCTACACGACAATGGTGACACATAACAAAGATGGCACAGGCCCCATGCAGTGAGGCAGAACCTCGCTACCAACAGGGAGTGAAAAGTAGTGATCATCTGTCCGAATTGTCAGTTAACTGAGCCCACTATATAGTCCCTGCTCTATATAGTACTTGAGGGATTTAGGGGTTAGGGCGGGCGTTCTGACACAGCCATATTTTATTATTGTAAAGAAGCTCAAATGCCTTGTATACCTGTTGCCCCGACATCCATCCATTTTCCGTCACGCTTATCCCAAGTTCGCAAGGGGTGCTGGTGCCTATCTCCAGCTGTCTACGGGTGAGAGGAGGGGTCCACCCTGGACAGGTCACCAGTCCATCGCAGGGCAACACAGAGACAAACAAGCCTTCATGCACACACTCACACCTAAGGAGAATTTAGAGAAGCCAATTAACCTAACAGTCATGTTTTTTGACTGTGGGAGGAAGCCGGAGTACCTGGAGAGTACCCACGCATGCTCAGGGAGAACATGCAAACTCCATGCAGAAAGACTCGGGCCGGGGATCAAACCCGGAGCCTTCTTGCTGCAAGTTTTGCCCCAAAAGAAATAAAAAATAATTCAGTAGAATAATGAACTTCGGAATTTCCTGGATTCTTTGATCAACCGTCAACCACAGTTGCACTCATTTAAAGCGTGCAGTCAGGTCTCGCTTGAAGCAGAAACAATAGAAAGAAGTCAAAGTTAAACAGAAACATCCATAATGAAAGAATTAGAAGTTCAACAACAACTGAACTGTGGATAGACTTAAAATAGCCCAACTAATTGGCTTACATCTGTATGTTGGTATGCCTTTGTAGACACTGTGTAAATACACCAGATGGAGGGAAAAAAGGCAACAGTTGTTGAACAGGTTAGCCTGCAGTTCTGTTGATTGCTGCTGCCTGCAGATTGCTCCTCCTTTTTTTAATCTGACGTTGAAAGTTTGCAGACATTGAGCGCGGGGATGTTTTCTAACCAGCAAAAACGAGGAATTGATGCAATTTTTAGGAATTGCATCTATTACAGTTCTGTTTTTTTTCAGACTCATATGGAAAACCTATATAGAGGAAACATTAAGTGGCGTTGTGAGGTCTGTGCAATAACCAGAACACAGGCGTTGGCATAATCCCCAGAGGAGGTGACAGGATGAAGGTAAAGGTGACCTCATTTAAAGCCTCTTTGGCGGAGGGCAACTTGTTCATGTATCTACCTCTGTGCTTCACAGTCTTAAGTATTATGTTAATAGTTGCAGACTATTAACTGGTGTTTCTGTGCTGCATGTTTTTCAAAATACAACAGCAACAAAAAAAATAGGAGTTTCTGTTTGATAGAACCTTTAAACATAGTGTTTTGAGTTGCACAGGCCAGTGATAAGTGTGAATGGGGTATTTGGATGTAGAGAAAAGCTTAGTGTCTCCGTGTTACTAAGTGGATTTCTCTTGCAGTGAATGGCAGCTGTCCCATATGGAGCAGCCGGTGAAGCCATGATATACCGATCCATGAGAGAGGAGGGAAATCTCTGCTCTTAACGGCATTTGTGTGACTGCTGCTGACTTTTTTTTCCTTAAATATCTTTATCTTTTTTGGTTGATGGGATGGCAGAAAGTGAGCCCAGTTATTTTTCACTGGAAAAACGATCTAGAAGATTTTTTTTACATTAAGTGTATTTATCCTTATTTTGAGTAGGTTAATGAGACAATTTGCTAATGGAATCAGTATTTTTACTCTTAAAATAAGATATTTAGATAAAATGCACTTAAAATAAGACAATGCAGTTGTTTATTTCTTATTTTAAATGTAAATCGTAGTGTTCCATTGGCAAAATGTCTCTTTTACCTTCACAATTCAAGAACAAACACACTTATTTTAAGAAAAAATGACTTATTTATTATTTTTTCCAGTGTAAAATTAAAAATTGATTTTATAAACCACCTTAAAACATGTGTTTTCCACTGGTCACATACTTTGTTACATTTTTCTTTTTCCTTTAAAAGGAGTGAGTTGAACAGAGGTGTGTTTTGAACATGCCTTTATTAGTCATTTACATGTGAGAGGGCGTAGCTGCCCCGGAGACAACAAGTCCTAATAAGCTCGGTAACAATAAACCTTAGTCGGCTTTAACCATTGATGAGCCAGCAGCTGACATAACAAAAGCAACTCTAACAATAGAAATTAATGCATGCTCTGACTTAGTGCTGTTTTATTGTTAGGGAAGTGTTACATGCAAAAGTCGCACCGTCTTGCCCTATCTAATATAAGGGAGCAATTAAATGGAACTAATCTCTAGATGTGTTGGAAGCAGTGAAACAAAGGGGCGATTAAGTCAAGCACCCCAAGAGTGGGTGTGTCATACATCATCACTGATGATCCCTGACAGAGAGGCTCTGGTGACAGAGGGGGCCTCCGAATTGCTTCCATTGCTGGCCTTGAGCAGTGAGATCTCGGCGCTGACCCTCCCCCCACCATCTTCTTCCTGTTTCTCATGGTTGTCTGGCTGCTCCTGTCTATACAATATTAGCAGGGTCTGGGAACATACAACTGTGTGCTCTACAGATAGCCTCATAAAATGGCGCCCATAATTGGCCCCTGGAAGTCAAGCAGTAAACAGCACAAAGGAGCACCATAACTAGTCATGTTATTTTTACTTTATGTTCCTTTCACTACAATGGTAAACCATCGTGCATCCTTATGTGGAGCAAGTGATTGTTTTGTAGACAGGTGTTGGATTAAGATGTGTGTTTTTTTTTTTTAATATTCCAGTAAATTACAGCAGATCTGTTCTGATTACATCTTACTGGAGGGTTCTTAAGTGTGAATGCGCTTTTTAAAACCATGCCGATTCAATTCAATTCAGTTTACTTATATATAGCACCAATTCACAACACGTCATCTCAAGGCACTTTACAATGCAACCAAATCATACAGTGAAATCGATTCAAAGTTTTCTATCAAAGGAAAACCAGTTGATTGCATCGACTCATTGACTCAAAGGCAATCCCTCACACTAATCATGCTTGTAGCAACAGTGAAGAGGAGGTTCAAGGAGACAGAAGCCAACATGGAAAAAGAAGCAGAGATACAAAGGGCAACTGTAAACCAGCTCTACAGGCGGCCCCGTCCAGGAAACACACAGCCAGGCAGACGAGCACAACATCTCTTTTGGATCTAGGAGTGAGGGATTGTTGTAAAGTAAACAACACAATGCAAGCGAAAATCTACTGTCGCTACTTGCTGATCTAGTTGGAACGTATTCTGTAAAGTCATTGATCAATACAATTCGCAGGATTTCTTAGATAGGAACTTTTTAACCAGTGGGACTGTTTGATCTCATTAAATTGTCTCTATAAAGTGACTTAAGAAGACATGTATTCAATGTATCTCTATACACTAGAGATAGAGAAAACCGAACTGAATTTAGGTTCAAACTTTGACTGATCATCTCCAGAACCAATTAGTTTGTTTTAGATGATTATTTTTGTGTCATTTATTCAATGGTCCAATGTGGATGTTCGGACACAGCCATGGTGTTTTGAAAACCATTAGTATTTCAATTCAATTCAGTTCATGGGCGTAGGTTTGCATAGGGACCATAGGGACATGTCCCTACCAACATTTTGGACCAACCTACTTGTCCCTACCAACAATTACATGTGAATAACATTTTTATATTTTACAATACAGCGTTGTTGCAACAGTAGAGGAGTTATGGATGGAGAACATTGACAAACGAAAACATGTTTAATCTGAAATGCATAATGTTTTTTTTTTTTTTTTTTTTTTACAGTTTTGGTATAGTTCCTGCTCTAAGTGGGTCGCTTTATGAGCTAAAGACATGTTTTAGAGTCTCTATACTCCAGTTAACGATTTGTTGACATTATTTCAATAATTGATTCATTCAATGAACTGTTTCAGCCCTAAATGAAATACATGAAATGTGTTAAACAGAGTAACTACAGCCCAGATGTACAACTTGTAGACTTAAGTTAATATATTAAATGCTCAGTGTCAGTTCCTCTTCTAGTTCCAGTGCACATGTAAATACAATACATTTATTTGGCATCCCTTTAATCTATTATTTTGCTTTGTTTCATCATACAAAGAGAACATTTAAAATATAAGAGTGAGTTTTACCTGTTTACCTCTGCACAATTCTATATCTTCAAAACAAAAAAATATAACAGACATTTTTAGACTATATTCTGTTAAATAGGCACAGATTTACCTACTGTCTTTGTCGCTGGTAATTTCAAATGCAAACCTTTTCAAAGTGAGGAAAAGTCATAATCCCTCATTCATCAAAGCCAGTTAAGCTTCAGTCATTGATAAACAGAATCTAGTGTGTAGTGCTTATAAAATTTGTATACCGTAAATGTAGCAAGAAATGCTGCTTTTCTCTTTTAATCGAAATACACCCTGATTTTCACGTCAAGCATAACAAAAGGAGCATGCATATTATGGCATAGGACCAATGACATCAGACCAGTAGTGTCCCTACCAAAGTTGAAATCAAACCTACGCCCTTGATTCAGTTTATTTATATAGCGCCAATTCCCAACACGTCATCTCAAGGCAATTTACAGTTCACCAGATCATCCAGTCAAATTGGTTCAAAGATTTCTATCTAAGAAAAACCAGTTGATTGCATCGACTCGTCAATTCAAGTGCAATCCCTCACACTAAGCATGCTTGGAGCGACAGTGGAGAGGAAACACTCCCTTTAAACAGGAAGAAACCTCCAGCAGAACCAGGCTCAGTGTGAGCGGCCATCAGCCAAGGCCAACTGGCAGATGGCCATACAACTACTTATCATTTGAAAGTTTTTGTATGTAAAAATCACCATGTTCTTTTGTGGAAAACTGAAGTGTTATTTCAAAATAGGAAAAATGCAGCACTATAATCATTCAAACTAAATACTCAACTGAACTTTATAGTGAATGTTTTTGTAACTTTTATAGTATCAGAAATTACATCTATAGCCTAAACATGAATGGGTTCTTAATTCTAGTAACATTGTTACAGTGGTTAATAGAGCTCATTTTAATCAAGCCAGCAACACCATAAATACATGTAGGGGGGTTTATTGACTTGTAAAAGAGATGCTCTTTGGCTTTGTGATGAAAATGCAGCATAGGCCACTTTAGTCCCCAGCTGTGCCTTTGGCCTGAACAATAAACTCTACATTTCCATCCAATAAGCTTTGTTTAGAGTAGTTTGACTGTATATTTATTGTAAATGTAATCATTAGTAGATGACCACTACTTTCGCTCCCCATTGGTCACATGACTCTGGCTCCCCGCATGGTGCCTGTGCCATCTTTTTTCACCTTCTTTGCTTAGTAGGGTGAGTTGGATATTTTAGTTAAAGTTTAGTTAAAGGGGTCAGGTTAGGTGATGTAAGTGAGAGTTGGTACAAAGGATGATTAAAAGGTTAGGGATTAGGTTTGTAGGGTCAAAGTAAGGTGCCCCGTGATTTTAGAGTAAAGCCGTTTTTTTTCAATCGTTGCTCACAGCTACAGCTCACACAGTATGACGAAACCACAGGATCATGTGTTATTGTTAAAAAGGAAAGGATGTTATTGGCAGGATAGGATTGAGGATTGTTAAGCCAATATTTGGGTTTGTAGGGGCACCGTGAGTTCAGTGTTAGCTATAAGACGTCAGGGTAAGGTGATAGTGACTTAGATGGGTAGTGTTTACTATAACCTTAGGTTTAGTTGCTAAAAAGTCACGATAAGGTCTGTCAATTATAGACGGTCAATCATAGACGGTCTGTCCATATCTAGGCATGGACAGACCGTCCATGCCTAGATATGGTTATTGTGTTTTGGTTGAGAAGAAAGTTAAAAAGGCTGTTATTGGCAGGATGGAATAAAGGACTGTTCGGCCCCAGCCTTGGATTGAACTCCAGTCCTGTATTTAAAGGGGTTTCCTCCATCTCACTGAGCTGGGTTTTGGCAGGGGGAATCAGGGGGTGCCAACTGTTCCTGGATACTTTAAAACAAAATAAAATAAAAATGGAAAAAGGGAAAATAGAATGGGGAGTTTAGGAGTTTGATTTATTAGTGGTATAGGTGTATGCGGTGGGTGAAAGGTGGATCCCTGGTTGGCTCTACTGGGTCAGAAACAGAAAGCGATGCAGGTGGATGCCCCCAT